ACCTGCCCAAAGTTGCTGAGCTTCTGAGTGGCAATGCTAAGACCCAAACCTAGACTTGAGTTGAAGCTCTCAAACACTGCAGTATTTCTGCAGAGATATCATTCGTCTAATAATTACTTAGGGAATTTGTTAAAAAAAAAAAACAAAAAAACAGCTAAGTGGGCACAACTACAAGGCACATGGATCAGAATTTCCAGGACAATTCTCTGATTCATAGGAACCACTACAAGTTAACTTCCCATTTCCTACAGAAGGGAGTCGATTTCTAATGTCTAAACTCCTCCTGGCAGGATTCTAGAATATGGGCAAAATTCCTTAAACTGGTCTACAAAGCTCTTCGGTCTGTCACTTGATTGACATTTTTGGCCCCATCCTCCATATTCCCCCTTTGTTTTGGTTTCTCTTATTCATCATAGGGCTTTCCTTTATAGGATATTTGCACATGCTGTTCTTTGGCCTGGGATGTTCTTCCCTCCTCCCTCTATCTAGTTAACCCCTGCTCATCTTCAGGCCTCAGCATAATGGACACTTCTTGAGAGAAACTTTCCTGACCTCCCTGTCTAGGTCAAATCCCTAGTTATAATCTCTCAAGCACTCTTTGCAATTAAGTACCACATTTGCAATTTATATGATTATCTCTCTTTCTCACTATAAACTGTAAACTCTACAAAGGTAGGCACTTATAAATAGTGCCTGTTCAATAAATATTTGCAAAGAATTAATAGATTTCCAGGCCTTTTAACTATTCCCTACTTAACTAGCCAAGCATATTTTTCACTCCTACTTAGCAGAGACCCACAGTTCCAGTCACAGAGGTTAACTCCTCTCTCTACATCTTTTCATCCTTATCCAGACCCAAGATCCTTCTCCACCTCTTCACCTACATAATTTCTTCTATTGCTACAAGGTGTAGAAGCCTAAATTTCCCTTGTTTCACAAAGCTCTCTTTAAGACACCAGCCCATAACAGTCTCCTCTAAACCTCTACATCACTTTGTATTTCTATGCCATTCATTTGGCACTTCATCATATGCTGCCATTATGTAATATTTCATATGTAAGTGCCTTGTTGTATTTTTAAAAATACAAGCATTGTTAGGTAGTTTGTATGTTCTTAAATGGTAGTTATAGTTTAATTTGCTACTGGAATTCCCAGGCACATCATAAGCCCTCTGGAAACATCCGCTGAATGAATTAATGAAGAACTTTCTGTGGGCAGCAATGTGGGCTCAGCCTGCAGTTTATCACCAAATTTGCCAATTGACAACTCTCCTTGGAGGGCATTGGGATATTTTATACTATTTCTCTGTGGAATACCTCCAGAGCCCATTTCAGCAGACAGTTCAAAACAAGTGTGATGGAGGAACATTAAAGTAATATACTATGTAAATTTCCTGACATATTTAGAGCAGCTCCATACTCAGGTATTTCTAAATCTATTACAAATTATTAACACGTTCCATAACTCTTTAGGATAACTCTACATTGTCAATCCTTGTTCTTGCCCTCTGAAGTTGAAAGAATCTTTAAATATTTTCAGTAGATGAATATCTATTTCAAAATATATCACTGAGGAAATTTTTTTTTGGCTGTAGTCATGTTGGTACTCTCTTGACTGAGTACCATTTACCATAAACCTTTAACCCTATGTAAAATGCAGGAGTGCTTTTCAACTTTTTTTTTTGGTCAGAGTAAGATCTAAGTAATTAAGACTTTTTTCCTTCAAAAACAGAGAGTACAGGGGCCGGCACCAGGGCACATCGGTTAAGTGCACGCACTCCGCTTGTGGCGGCCCGGGGTTTGCTGGTTCGGATCCTGGGCGCGCACAAACGCACTGCTTGGCAAGCCATGCTGTGGCGGCAACCCACATAAAGTAGAGGAAGATGGGCACAGATGTTAGCCCAGGGCCAGTCTTCCTCAGCAAAAAAAGAGTAGGATTGGCAGATGTTAGCACTGGGCTGATCTCCTCACAAAAAAAAAAAAAAAAAGAGAGTACATTGTAATTCCAATTATTCTGAGTCTTATTTGAAAATGCAAGAGCCAAGGAAAACAAAGTTGACAGACAATATTGAAATTCAGGCTATATGTGTCACCCATTTAAAAATGCAAGGAATTAATTTACTTCATGAGTTTTATCAATCATGATTTTTACCCATACTAATTAAAAAATATAAAAAAATTAAAGTTTGATAATAAAGAATTCAGTTATTTGTTTTCCCCATTTTTCTTTAGCTGTCCTTATGAACATTTTATACGGAGCTAATTACCTTTTTTAATAGCTTTATTGAGATGTAATTTACATACCATAAAATTTACTCATATTAAGTGTACAATTCAATTTTTTTTGGTATATTTACAGAGCTATGCTACCATCACCAGAATTTAATTTTATCTTTTTTTTGTTTTTGTGAGGAAGATCAGCCCTGAGCTAACATCGGATGCCAATCCTCCTGTTTTTTTTTTTCTTGTACTCTCTTTTTGTGTGTGTGAGGAACATCAGCCCTGAGCCAACATCCATGCCAATCCTCCTCTTTTTGCCAAGGAAGACCGGCTCTGAGCCAACATCTATTGCCAATCCTCCTCCTTTTTTTTCCCCCCCCAAAGCCCCAGTAGATAGTTGTATGCCACAGCTGCACATCCTTCCAGTTGCTGCACGTGGGACCCGGCCCCAAGGTGGCCGAAGAAGTGGTGCGTTGCTGCGCGCCCGGGATCCGAACCCAGGCCGCCAGCAGCAGAGCGCGAGCACTTAACCGCTAAGCCACGGGGCCGGCCCACCAATCCTCCTCTTTTTGCTGAGGAATATTGGCCCTGGGCTAACATCCGTGCCCGCCTTCCTCTACTTTATATGGGACGCCACCACAGCATGGCCTCACAAGCAGTCCATTGGTGTGCACCTGGGATCCGAACCTGCGAACCCTCGGGCCGCCGAAGTGGAGCGTGCGCACTTAACTGCTGCACCACTGGGCTGGCCCTGTTTTATCTTATTGTTTTCATTGAGATAAAATTCACAAAGTGTAACCATCACCACTCTAATTCTGGAACATTTTCATCACCCCAAAAAGAAACCTTGTACCCATTAGTAGTCTTTCCCCACTTCTCCCCATCTCCACTAGCCCTAGGCAACCACTAATCTACTTTGTCTTTATGAATTTGTTTATTCCTAACATTCAATATAAATGGAATCATACAATATGTGGTTTTGCTGACTGGCTCCTTTCACTTAGCATGTTTTCAAGATTCATCCATGTTGTCACATGTATCAGAACTTCATTCTTTGCTATCACCTAATAATATTCTATTGTATGGATATACCACATTTGGTTTATCCATTCAGCAACTGACGGATATTTGGGCTGTTTACACTTTTTGGCTATTAGGAATAATGCTGCTAAGAACCTTTGCGTACAAGTCTTCATGTAGACATATGTTTTTATTTCTTTTGGGTAGATACCAAAGAGTAGAATTACTAGGTCAGATGCTAATCACTCTCAAGACGAGTAACAGAATTTTTTGTTTTCTATTTCAAAGAATTTTTGACGTAGCCAGGAAACAGACTTTTCATGAAAATGCTAATATAAAATCCTTTTTTTTTTTTTCACTAATAAGGTTAATCTGCAAACAGCTTTGCTATCAACAGCACTGTATCATATTACTTTCCAATTTTTGGTTCAAACAGAAATTCTAAGATGAGGTGAGAACTTTTAGTGTAAATCATAAAACTAAATGGAGTTTGCACTAGCCTATTTAATCAATATTCTAGGATCAAATTCCATTTTTTTGAGAAAGATGTATATATGCATCTTCTTGGGCTGACAATTGCTTGAGATAAATACACAGTAAGGGAAGGCTCACACAGTAGGAGGAGAAATAAATAGGAACTTATAATATCAACCGCCCTGATTAAATTAAGTACTTATTTTCCTCCACTAGCAGGGGCTTCTCATTTCATGAGAAAAAGGTAAAACATTAATTACAATTAGTCATGTAAATTCCCAAAGCCTTTAATAAAAGCATCTTTCAGAAATTGAAGGCCAAATAAACTTCTGGTCACATGTTACATTTCCTTTTTTTTCCTGGCAGTGTACACTCTAGCTCAAATATATTCAGGAAGCACACTTTAAACAGAGAATTAAGAGCTGATTGTAAAATTCTACACAAAAAAAGCTTAAAAAACATTTTAATTTAGAGAAAAAAATCAAACCTCTTGCAACAGAAATTAATCATAATTAAGGGAAAACTACCAGACGTCGTACCAATCACAGCACTAGAGAACGCCACAGGCCGTCCAAAAGACGCATTCGTTTTAGCCAACAGCTCTTCCCTCCCGCCAAAGCTGTCCCTAAAGCGTCAGAGAATAATCCAACGAATGATTTATGATTTTTCCCTTTTGATCCGCCCCCCCCCCAAACACACACACACACAGACACACATCCACCTGCTTGGAGGTGTCAAGGCGACTAGAAATGGTTAACAGTGATCAGCAGCAGAGAGAGCAACAAACACCCCTGACAACCCACAGCTGAGTAAGCAAGAGCTGTTTATTCACGAACATGTTCCATTTGGAGACTGTCGGCGAGCCCTTGAAAGCCCAGGCACATTTTAGAAGGTTCCTAGACAGGGAGAGAATAATCTTTTCTCCCCTCCCACCCCTGCCCCCCCGCCCCAACACACATTGAGAGGCTCGGGTGGGAACCATCTGGTCAAGGCAGTCCCTGCCCAGCCGCCCCCTTAGGAATAACCTCGCGCACTAGAGCATCCGACCCTGTGCGGGGGTAGTGTAACTCCCCAAAATGGGCTCAGACGCGGCAGAGGCTGGCCCCAGCGCCGAGGGCTTCAGAAGGGGCTTCTGCCGCCCCCGTCCCCGCCACGGCCCGCCCCGACGCCGCGGCCGGGGCTAGGGTCCCTGAAGAGAATTGGCCCTTTAGCCCCCTCCCCTCACCTGGCTCGGTCCCACCTGAGGGTAGGAGCTGAGGAGAAAAGAAACAGGCAGGGAGGGCTGACCTTGTTACTAGTGACAGTGGAGCAGCACATCCTGCTGCTTCCTGGAAAGCGGCCCGAAGGACATTTTTCCCCCTGGAGGAAGGAAACCGGAGGGCGCCGGGCGGGCGGCGGCGGGCGCGGCGGCGGTGGTCCGGGCGGGCTGTGCAGCCTCTAGCGGAGACGGTCCGTGGACTACATCTCCCATGCTGCTCTGGGCCGCCTTGCGTCGTGACCCCGGCGCGCACGGAGGCGGTGACTCTTACCTCACAGAGGTAGCTCCTCCGCCGGCAGCAACTCGGCGCCCGCGGTCCATGGACCGGAACCCCGGGCCGACGGGCAGGAACCCGGGCCGCGATCGCCGCCTCCCTGTCCCAGGCTCCTCCTCCTTGTTCCCCTCCGCCTCCTCCGGACGCCCGCAGGCCGCGCACTGCCGCCGCCGGGCTCACGGAGCCGCCCCGGGAGGGTGGGTGGCGGGCTCGCGGCTGCCGCCGGACTGAGGCCTACTTCGCCGCCTCTCAGTGCTATTGTCCCTGGGCCCGGCCCTGACCGGGTCCACTGGGGAGGCGAGTGCGCCGGCTCCGCGGAAGATGCCGGACCAAGCTCTACAGCAGATGCTGGACAGGTACGGGCAGCTTTGGGGGAGAACGCGAGCCGGGGACCCTGGCTTAGGTCCTGCCCGCCCCTGGGCTCGAGGCTCTTCGTAAGCGGAGCCCGGCGTGCCGGGAGGAGTTCCATGGCCTGGGGCTCATGTGAGGGGCAGAAAGTTTGGATTCCATGCTCGGGGGAGGACAGAGTGGGCGACCTGGGTGCGTAAACTTAAAGCGAAACTAAGTTAAGGAGGGGCGTCTAGTTTTGTCGTTTCGAAGTGAGAGGGGCTCGTGTTAACCCACAGAATTGGTTTCTTTTTCCTTTTCTTGCCCTCCTCCCCTCCCCCCAAATTATGTTGTAATGTGTTTGTCAGCGATGTCACTGGCAAGAAGAACCAGATTATCTTTCAGGGGAATGAGCCCCCTACAATTTTAAGACTCTTTCCAAAAATCAAGGATAAGCGTTCTTTTGGAAAACCTGATAGGCTGACTTCATTCCTCCTTCCCCCATCCCATCCCCACCCCCAAACTGTAAGGTCAAGAGTATCCGCAAGGGAGCTTTAACGGTCAGACCAGAGTAGAGGTTATGGAAAACAGCCACATGAGTCCAACACTGAGCACTTAGCGTATTTTACGGTTCGTTGAGTTCACTGAGCAAGTTTCATCTTATACTGGGGCCTGTGGCCCATTCCTGGGGGGCTCCAGTCGGTAAAACTTTTTGTGAAATCGGCTGCACCGCCCTCTGCTGTTCAAATTCTAGTCCATGGGTTCTACCATGAGTTTTTGGAGACTCTTAATCCACCTTTCCCCCTAGACAGGTCTTAACTTCTGGCAAAGTCAGTGCCACAGGCTAATGCAGAATGTTTGTGGTTGCTTTCAACTCTCAGTAGACCACTTGCCACCCTGTTGAGCATGTGGTATAGCTCTTTGTATAGAGTAAAGGTCCAACTGTAAGGTGTTAAATGAAAGGCGTCCCTGACGAGATGATACCCAATTAACCGCTGTTTGGACCTGCCAGACCCGGAACACAAATCACTCAAGAGTACATCTCCCAGAGTGATAGACAGTTCCTTTACAGCTCAGGATTTTGAGACATCTGAGTTGATAGAAATCATGTTATTGACTTTTTTCAGTTGGTGTGGCCCAGTGATTAATCCAGCCCTTGTTTGAGGTCAGCATTCAGGTCAGGTTGTATTGACTCCCCCCTTTTTTTTATGTAAATAGTTTACAAGCTCCTGGAAGACAGAAATTTACTGATCATTATTTATCTTGAATTGTAGAACAGAGCCTGGAACTTGGCAGGTCATCAGTAGATATTTGTTTTATGAACAAATGCGTGAACTTTTTTGTCATTTTCCCCAGTTGTCTAGGGGTCTGATAATTTACCAGGTTTTTCTTTCATTATAATTTAGCATACTGGCAAATTGCATAGGACTGCTAAAATATGTCCAGAGGAGACCACCTCCTGCCACTGTCAATTCCAATCAAATGAGACCCCATTCTGATGCAGGGTATTTTGTAATCAGTTTTTTTTCCTCTGCGGACCTGCTGCTTTCACTTTTATGTTGGTGACTTTTAGAAGAGTTTTTGTGTCCAGAAACTGACCTGGCTTTCATATGTTCTTTGGAGATTTCCATAAAAGTAAAAAGCCAAGGACTGCTAGTGAGGCATTTAAAATTTCTTAACAGAAACTTGGAAATTCTGGCTGCATTTACTGAAGCAGGTGACTATAATACTGGCTTACCTTCATCTTCTGTACCTTTTTGATGTACCTCAAGGTAGGTTCTTAAGATGACATTTAAAGACCTTTATTATCTAAGTCAGTAGTTTGCAACCTGGCTCTGAGTTAGAATCACTTGGGGAGCATTTTAAAATATAGTTGAATGCCTGGCTCTGCCCAAGACCAGTTAGATCACAAATTTCTTAGAGGATGGAGCCTGCGCATCTATAATTTCAGAAGCTTTCCAGATGTTTCTGATGTGGTTGACAACTGGTTACCCCAAACCCTAAGGGATTATTTTATGATGAAATTGTACAGTTCAGTGAGAAAAGCTTGGGCGTTAGAGACAGAAATCTTGAAATTCTCATTTTGCCACTTACTAGCTATGTGACTGTGGACTTAAATTCTGAGGCTATACATCTTCATTTATAAGGAGGGGGTTTCTACCTCACAGGACTGTAAAATGAGAACATGTGTAAGCATTTTATCAAACAATAAATTGCTATTCATATGTTAGGTACACAGAAGGTACTTAAGATTTTAGTGTAACCAACCAGTTTGGTAAATTTCCCCCCCATCTCCTTCATATTTACTAATTATCTTAATCTGGGCTGGCCCTAAATGCAAGTTGAACACAGAGATACTTGATGGGCTCATTTGAGGAATACTGACAGGCCTAACAGACTAAAATATGGTCAGCCTAGTAGGACCTAGAATTCTTGCCATGAATTTGGCTTCCCCCTAGCTTGGTCTTTGGGTGGCAATTTTTGAGGGACAGAATTTAACTCAGAAACCTACCCATATGTTTATTTCTTCAGTGCAGATTTTATTGTTGTGAAGACTAAGGAAATATGTATAAAGCATATTGTTCTTTTGCTTTTAGGTTAAAAGTTAGGTATTTTATAGTGAATTAATTATTAAACATTTGTATTAATTGAATTTATTTAATAAATATTGAGTGCCTGCATGTGCCCAGTACCATTATAGGCCTTTGGTTTATGGTAGTGAACATAACCGAAAACGCTTGTATGGAGCTTAAATTCTAGTGAGGTTTGTGTTCCATAAACTGTCAAATAAAATGAAGATTATGTTTAATTGTAACATGAATGGTATGTTCAGTTTATACCACTTAGTCTTTCAGGTTTTTTAAACTAATGGCAACTTATTAATAGCTGAAGTTGAATTGCCTTGTCCTTTGTGAATATGTAACTAAATTTAGTTTAGCAATTATTTATCTTGATAAATTTTATTATTGCAGTATTTGTAGGTGGAAAGAGTATATATGTGTAGATATGTATTTTGATTGCCTTTCATTTTTATAAACAATAAGCGACTGTTTTATGTAAATTTATTATTTGAACATGTTAAATTGCTTTGGGTAAACAATTATTTGAGAGTAGTGGGACAGGGGTGGTTTTCTAGCGTCATGAATGATTTGGTGTCACAAATCATTGCCCTGAAATTTATAACCATTCGTAAACTCATACCCTTTATATCAGGCTATCTGAACCTTGATCAGCTTCTCTTTTCTTCATTGCCACCCTTTTTTGAGAAGTCTTATATATTACTCTATCACCAATTACATTTCTCATTTTCTTTTATATTTCTCGGAATTAGGATTAAACGTATAGAGAATACAAAGAATATTGTAACAAATTGCAGGAATGGACCTCAGGTTTGAAGCCTGTGCCTGCTGCAAGATGCATCTGGAAATTTCACTTTTGAGTACGCCATCTCATAGTAAATACTTAGGAGTGTGTTGTTTTGCATCACTTACTTGCACCTGATGAGTAGGCAGGGAATGTAGCCAGTATCCCCAGAAGAGTCAGATGAGAGGAAAAGTGGGGAGAATCGTCTGCTCCCCAGCCCCCTCCTGCAGTGGCAAAGTGAATTCAAATCCTTATTCTGTGGGGGTGTTATCAACAACAGACGTACATCTCTTTGGAGGATGTAGAGTATTCTGATAGGAACATGCTATATTATCTTCTGGTTTATGTAACCATCTCTTAGTTTCCATTAAAGCAGTTTCCCATTCTCATTGTCAGTTGGCATCTTTTCCTCAATGATGTCACTATCCCATTTTGACAGTTGTAGACCAATACCTGGAATTAAAAGCCATTAGCAATTAGTTAAATTTGCTTCCATCTGTGTGTAAAAAGTGGAAACATTACAGCTAAAGTTCCCTGTGGCCACTATCCCCAGTTCTGCATCTTCTCCCCATCCCCACTCCACTGTCATAAATGGGTTTATACTCTTCTAGTCTTCTTTAATGCTTTTATATATACCATATATAATTTGTAGTTTTGTTTTTGTTTCTAAAATTTAAATAATCTACAATTTTCTTTTTTTTTTTTTCTCTGAGGAAGATTCACCCTGAGGCTAACATCTATTGCCAATCTTCCTCTTTTTGTACGTGAGCCACTGCAACAGCATGGCCACTGACAGACAGTGATGTAGGTCTGTGCCTGGGAACCAGATACAGGCTACCAAAGCGGAGCGTGCCTAACTTAACCACTAGGCCACTGGGGCTGGCCCTATAATTTTCTTTTTGAGGAAGATTGGCCCTGAGCTAACATCTTTTTGCCAATCCTCCTCTTTTTGCTGAGAAAGATTGGCCCTGAGCTAACATTTGTTGCCAATCTTCCCCCTTTTTTCCTTTTTTCTCCCCAAAGCCCCAGTAGCTGGTTGTATGTCATAGTTTTACATCCTTCTAGTTGCTCTATGTGGGATGCCACCCCAGCATGGCTTGATGAGCAGTGTATAGGTCCACACCCAGGATCCAAACCAGCAAACCCTGGGCCACTGAAGTGGAGCGTGAGCACTTAACCACTGCGCCACTGGGCCAGCACCTCTAAGCGTGTTCTGAATTAAGGAGTGCTTGT